CTCAAGGTTTCATCAAAAAGGGTGGGAGAGTTTTTGAAACCTTGAGGCTGTCTAGTCCAGGTTAATTGTCCTGAGAATCCACCCTCTGGGTCATTCCACTCGAATGCAAAGATAGCAATTCCCTTCTTTGCTTCTAAACTCGGGGTATTGCCTTACCCGAGCTGGAGCTGGAGTGGCGGTGGCTTGCAATTAGACTACTACACGAGCTTGATGACTTGCTAACCCCGGGGGGTTGTTTTCTGCCCAAACCATAGGAAAGAGGCATTGTAATTTCCCCAAGTAAGCAGAGTCACATTGGCCCTTTCCTGCAAGAGATATTCATCTGAGAGAGGACAGGTTAGAAGAATGCGGCCAGGGGAGGATGGGTCCAGACCTGGGTTCGTTGGATCCACAGTGAAGTGTGCTCCGTCCCCCTCAAAGGATATGGTGGCTTGTAGTTTCTGTAAGAGATCACGTCCAAGAAAGGGGTACGGGCAAACTGGCATGACCAGAAACGAATGTGTTAATCGTGTTCTTTCCAAGGTCCACAGTCCTCTTTGATGTCCAAGGAAAAAGGCAGTTTGTCCGGTGGCTCCCTGGACTAATGTCTTCTTAGATGTTACGGGTCCCATTGGCTCTGTCAAGACTGAATAGGCTGCTCCAGAATACACCAGGAAACTAACTGGGAGTCCTATAAAAATGATTATTCTGGGCCCTAAGGAGTTCAAGAAAAAGGAGTCCTGGCCCTATTAGTCCCCTTCCCTGAGTGTAAATCCTCAGAGCCTGGGTTTTCCCTCAGCCTTCCACTTTCCTTTGTTAACCTACCAGGATATTCTCTCTTCCAGTGCCCCTACTTTCCTACAATAGGCATTCTAATTCCTTCCTAGTTTGCTGCCGGCCTTTTCTTTCCCTTTTCCATCCCCCTTCTCCTTTTGTCTTGGTGCCCGTTTCTCTTAATGCAGCTACCACTGCCTTAGTCATTCTCTTGTCCTGCTTCTCCTCCGGGGTGTCCCTATTGTTAAAGACTTTCTGGGCTGCCTCAACAGCTGTGGAC